GGCTCCGGGGGCGGGGACCGAGCAGTGCGCACGCGCGCAGAGCGTGTTTCCTTTCTTCCCCGACGCACCGGGCGGTGGTTTGCATGGGCCGCGAGGTGTCTGCAGATGGCAGCTTCTCCGCGGTTCGGACCAGCGGCGACGTTAAGCTCGTCCCCCGCCCCGCAGCTCGAGCAGACCGTTACTGTCCTGCCTGGACGTCGGGGTGAGCTCCCTGCAGACTGCGAAGGGGCCGGTGCCCCGATCGTCGCCGCCGCGGTCACAGTGCAGACCCCGAGGGCCAGGAAGGCAAGAGCCGAGCCCTGGACGCCAACACCGGCCCTGATGGCGGGCACTGGGAGGATACAGGCTAACTGAGGCTGTCGGAGAAGTTAACGCTGTTTATTGACGACTCCTGGCCCAAAGAAGGGGCCATGCATGTCGGTGCCTTGCTTGGCTTTCAGCGTTAGGTGAAGAAGCAAGTTAGATGTGACCTTTGTTCTCTGAGATCACCCCTCTCACCTGAAGATGGCTCTTGGAATACTGGACAGGCAGTGTCCAACTTTTTTTGAAGAGGTTTTCTCAACCCGGCGCTTTATCTTGAGTTCGTTCAAGGTAGCGCGGCCTCTGCCAAAGCATGACCCTGAACGTCGGAAGAAATAGCATTTAGTTGGAGAGAATAAAGCAGTGCCTGCATAGCTGGAAAATGTGGAGCAGGATGGTCAGGAAGGGACAGAAGAACTGCAGAGAATCTGGAAGTTACCATTTTTTTGGAGACACTCCCAGGACTGTCCTTTTCAATGACTTACACAGATTTTTATCTTAAATGTGTTGTAAAATCCAAACAGAAAGAATTGTATATTATACGATGAAGTCTATTTTTTTTTAGAGGTTTTTGCTTTTGAATGCATGCTCTTAGAGAGAGAGAGACAGAGACTGTGAGAGAGAAAGTGAGAAATCACCCTCCCCCCAGGGGTATGGGCATGCTGCAATCCCTTCTCCCCCATTCTCCTCCTGGGATCATGGCCACACACAGGCACAAATGCCTGGCATGATTTTTAAGCCACCGGGTCTGGGACTTGAACTGTGGTTAGCCGAGTGGAGTCCAGCGATGTAACTGCTATGCCATCTGCTGGCCCTGAAATCTACTTTTAAGGTGTACCTGAGATGTCTTACTATTGTAAAATCTTCTTGAGAGTTTATAAAAATAATCTTTTGTGAGAAAGTGGCATATTTACAAGAGAGGGGAAAGGAGAGAAAGATGGCCTACCGTTCATTTTACAGATGTGGACATTGTGATCCAGAGAGAAATGACTAGTCCTTCAGACCTGGGAACGGCAGCTCAGCCATGCTCCTTGGCTCGTTCCTCTCCTTACTGGGGAGACCACTACAGGGGGAGCTCATCAGCCGTCGTAATAAACGCCGTGTGAGGGGGTCATCGGAGAAGGCTCACCAATCTCTACCAGACTGAGGTGCGGAAGAGACAAGGGAACTAGGTCTCCAGGTTTTGAGAAAAATCTTAGTGATCAGAACTCCCCCTAAATGATAAAGACTTCTTTGACAGACGGAATGGGTGAAATTCTTTTTTTCAAGGAAGCTTAATTAGGGTCTGGATAAGGGACCAGCAGTTAGCATAATGTTTATGTCGCTGGACTCCCACGTAGTCAACCGTGGTTTGAGTCCCGGACCCGGTGGCTTAAACTCACACCAGGTGCGTGTGCGTTCATGCCCAAGATCCCGAGAGGAGAACAGAGGAGAAGGGATTGTGGCATGGCCATCGACCCTGGGGGCGATTTCTCACTTTCTGTCTCTCTGGCGAGCGCACAAGCCCTATAGCAAAAACCTCTAAGAAATAAATAAATAAAAATAGAAGTTTATAAAAATGTATATTTTAAAAAAAGGGACCAGCAGTTAGCATAATGTTTATGTCGCTGGACTCCCACGTAGTCAACCGTGGTTTGAGTCCCAGACCCGGTGGCTTAAATTTACGCTGGGCGCATGTGCGTGCATGCCAAAGATACCAAGAGGAGAATGGAGAAGGGATTGCAGCATGGCCATCCCCCCTAGAGGGGTGATTTCTCGCTTTCTGTCTCTCTGTCTCTCCCTGTCTGTCTGGCGAGTGCACGCGCTCTATAGCAAAAAAAAAAAAAAAAACAAAACCTCTCCAAAAAAAGAAAAACTTAGGGTCTGGGTAATCACTAGGGTTAATTACTGCTACGGGTATTCAAACCTCTGAAATCCACGTGAGTCCGACTCTTTGGTTACTGTCAACTTATGTGTCCAGGAAACACAGGAAGGCAGTGTGTGTGAGTCGAGTGTTACTCCATGCATGTCAATTCATGAGTCCTCATCACAAGCCCCATAGATAGGTGTTAATCTGAGGCGACCTCAGCAGTGCACAAAGAGTAAGGGACATGCCGATAATCACAGCACAACTGAGACTGTCCCACCATCTCATCTCCTGAGGAGTGGACGGGAGAGGAGAGTTCCCCAGCCCCTTCCTAGTGTAGGTAACCCCTCACACTGATCAGAGGGTCACCAAGGCAGGTACCTCCCACTACCCTCCCAGCCTGATAGCCAGAGATGAAGCTGCAACGGAGGCTCGCTCCTACTAGAAGAAAGGCATTTGGGTTCCAAAGTTCTGGTGCTTTGTGTTATTTTTATTTAGTTTGGCTGTAGGGTGTGTCCACTCATTGGTAAGGACAGAGGAGAGATGAAAGTGAAAAAGCACCTCCCTGCTCCCAGGGGGATGATCATATCTCAATCCCTATTCTTCCACTCTTCTCTCAGAATGTTGGGCACCTACGCACACGGGCCTGGTGGTTTCAAGTCATCAGGTCTGGGACTCAAACAGGGTCATCAGCCTTGGGGATCCAGCCAGCTCGGCCACCACCACTGATGCCCGCTTCCAAAAATCCCAGTTTGGTGGTTCACTGGGGATGAAGAGACGTGCCACTCAGCCTTGAGACAAGCTAGGACCAGGATGATAGGAACTGGTTTGCGAAGGGAGGAGGCAGAGGTGATGGATCTAAGGAGACATCTGGAGCTCAAGTAGGTTGTGCTACTCCGAGTCAGCAAGATCATTTGATGTTCTGGGGTTAACAGCCACTTCACCAGGGTCTGACCAATTGCTGGGATCCTGGGGAGCATGACTCAACCTCCCCTGGAAAAAGGAATGCGCTCAAGGCCGACTCCAGAGATGTCATCCTATCTCCATGTCTTCTGCCTCTCTAAAGATGAACTTTCTCCGCTTTTACCACTCAGTGCTCATGCGTTCTCCGTGTTCCCTCTGAACAGCATGACTGGATGTTTCTGCTTCTTGAAAAATTGTGGCATAGGGATGAAACATACCAGTCAGCTGTGGCCTGAGGGAGGTCAATCACCTTCCTACGCTGGTACCTTCCATGGCTACCACCTGGCCACAGAATCCAGCACCAGCTCCCTGGTCTCCATAGTCGGGTTCCTGTCCAGCCTGTTCTCCCACCCGCTACCACCCATGCTGCGCCGCCCCTCTGGCCACGTCGGCCTTCTCCTTCCTTGACCAAGTGGCGTCCTTCCCTCTTCCTGTCCTCCGTACGGTCTCATCTGCAGTGCTTCCCACAACCACCCTGCGCCTCCATTCAAATCTTCCTCTTCCCTCGAAGTAGAGTTTCAGTGGTTCAGACCACAAAGCCAAGCTGGCTAGAAGACAGCCAGGGGCCAGAGCAGTTGCAATAAGGGGAATTTAAAGGTGGCTTTAAGTTCACTCGTAGTGTAGAGGTCACGCAGGGGTCAGGACCTAGGCAGAGACCTGCAGAACCACTCTGCTTTCCCAAGGCACCCGCTTCATGCTGCTGCGACTCGCTGTCCTGACAAGAAACCGGGCAGCTGCCCTGCGTCACACAGGCTGTGGGGGCACCCAGGACCGCGTGTTCCTCGGCGTCTCTCCCAGGTCTCAGGCCTTCTGTGACTGCTGGGATGCGACTTACCGCTGCACTTCCCGGGGACACGCTTGCCTTCTCCCCAGTTACTGACTTGAGCTCGCTCCCACCTTAGCCCCACTCCCTTCGCCTTCCCCTGGTGATCACAGTTCCAAAACAGTTCTCAAATGGGGATTCTGGGCTTGGATTTAGCACCTCCCACCACACCTAGTACCTCTGCTTTCAGCTACCTCCTGAAGCATACGACCCCCTGCACCGGCACGCTCTGTGGGCACACAGCCTGCCCGGATGGAGGAGGTCCTGGTACCTGCGGTTGGCTTTTCTTGTCCCTGCGGCAGCAGTGACCTCATGAACACTGGCCGACGGAGCAATCCTATCTAACTGCCAGCGGATAGTTCAAGTGGGCGACTGGAGGGCAGAAGCCAGGTCCTGTCAGTTTGTGTACGTGCTCCTGCCCCGCACCCCAGCCCCAGCACGTGGGCCCATCCCTCTCGTCTCCTGGCCCAGAGGCAGCACTGGCTCTACCCAGACGTATTAGCTATTGGTTAGGTGCATTCATTCCTGGCACTGAGCAGGTACTCCATTCATAGCTCAACCTGCAGGGATTGAAGGTCCCGTGCCCGCTGGATGAAGATCTACCTTTACAAAGCAAGCACTGTCTGTGAACCTGGAGTCTTCAGAACCAACGCTGGTCTGTCCACGGGACCAAAGTCTGAGCTCATTCTGAGCCGAGATGTGGACCAGCCATGTGGTGACCTGGTTCCTCACTTTCCTGGGACGCCCCTGCAGCAGCTTTAATTCCTGCCGCGGGTGTCACTGCAGCTTGTCCCACGCTCGGTTACTGACACACGTCTCATTCGGGGCTCTGGGCGATGGGCTGGCTCAAGAAGGTGTTACGCATTAGGCGTCAAGTCCACTGGCCTCAAAGAGCCCCCGTGCACCTGGAGTCTGAGCATCTCCACGCTGTCTTTGCTCCCTCCCAAGTTCACGTCTTCAGGGTCCCACTGCAGAGAAAAGACACAGGCACCCTGCGGCATAAGTCCTTCTCAACTCCCCACCCCAAACAACAGCTCCAGTTTATCTCACGACCAGGCACAGGCAAGGACATCGATCCGGACATATGAACCAGGCCTGTAGTTTTTTTTTCTTTTTTTTTGGAGAGGTTTTTGCTATAGGGCGCGTGCACTCGCTAGACAGACAGAGAGAGACAGAGAGACAGAAAGCGAGAAATCACCCCCCAGGGGGCATGGCCACGCTGCAATCCCTTCTCCTCCATTCTCCTCTCTGGATCTTGGGCACGCATGCACACACACCCGGCGTGAGTTAAGCCACCGGGTCTGGGACGCAAACCGCGGTCGACTACGTGGGAGTCCAGTGACACAGTCGTTAAGCTAGCTGCTGGTCCCCCAGGCCTGTATTTCAAGGACCTAAGGGGACATACATAACTTTGGGAAAGGAATGAATGAACAGCCATTCTGCCATTCTGAGGAGATGGTCCCACTTCCCTTCCCACCTTCTTTTTTTCCATTCCCTGCCTTCAGCAAGTCCTTATCTATCAAGTTCCCATCATCTTGAGAATTCTTAACCATGACTAACTCATTCCTGGAAAAGACCAGGCAAACTCAATCCATTCTTTATGGCCCAGGTAAATACTTCCTCCTCCAGGAAGCCTACCACGACAGCTTTAGCCCATTGAGTTTTCGCCCCCTTCTCTCTTTGTGCTACCGCTCATTCGTACCCAAGTGTGGATAGGCCTAGACTTTCCATCTCTGCTGTGCCCTCTCAGGTGATGATAAATCCCTTGAAAGCAGGACACGTCGGCCCCTGCTGCCTTACCCGGTATCTGCTCTGAACCTGAAGCTCAGCAGACTTGCCAAAAACAAACACTTAAAACCCGGTCCAGGGCTGACTTCGCGGTGCAGCAGTAACGCACTGCTCCAGGGAAGTGGGGTCCCACATGGCAACTGTGGTTCGAATCCCCTGCCAAGTCAGCCTGAACCACACCGGACATGTGTGGGAGTGCCCGAGGTCTGACGGAGGACTAGAGGGAGGGGATCATGGCGTGGAGGGACCCCGCGCCGGGCTCATGTCTTTATCTCACCCTCCTGTGTGTGCACCTGCTAAACCTGAAAAAAGAAGAAGGCCGGTCTGGAGTGGTGGGCACAGCCGGGGACCACTTCGCCACTGACTCGGACAGTTCGGAGACTGAGACCTGCGGGTAAGGGTGAGCATTTCTTTTTACAAGTTGACACGTAAGGATTGAGAAAGCTGCTTACAGAGCCCTCGTCCTGTCCCAATACGATGGGTTAGAGGGAGGACTTTCACCTGGGACAGGCCAAGAGACCCTTAGAGCCACCTTTGAAGTTCCGCCGTGGAGACCAGTGGGGGTTGGGCTCAGATCCTCCCTTACCAGCTTGTTTGAATTCCGTGGGCCTCAGTTTCTCCCCGTGGAGGCGGTGGCGCTGGCTCAGCCACTAGATAGATAACAAGGTCTCTCTCATTTCCGAGTTTCTGTGAGTGATGACTCTGAGTCAGAAGGCCACCGCTGACGGCATCAGGAGAGCCAGGAAATAAGCACAGGCCCACAGAGTGTGTCAGCCTGGGCCGGGTGACCCCCTGGGTAAGAGGACAGACCCGGGCGTGGACACGCACACGGGGAAGGCACTGCCAGCTGCTTGGACGGAAGCTGAGTCAGACAGCCAGTCCTGAAACAAACAGTCCAGATGAGGTCCTCAAGGCCCCCCGGAGCAGGGACAGATGGTGCCCGCATGGAGGCTTTGTTCTGAGCGGAAGGAAGAGCCCAGCTAGCCTCACTGAGGATAACCGAACTGTCCCAGCACTCGAGACTAAGAGCACCACCGTGGTAGAAAGACCACTTAACCCCAGCGACTCTGCAGGCCCTCGACCACATGGATTCGGAGCGCGCAGCTCAGCGTCCTGGCCGGCCTGGGGCTGTGCAGCTGCCTCTGCTGTGAACCTCTCACTTATCTGTGGCTGTGGATCTGGCTGGACACCTTCGACCAAAGTCCTTCCTGACATCATCGGAGATCTCAAGGGGGAGCCCCCAGCAGCAGCCTACAAGACCCACTTGGCCTCTGGCAGAAGTAGGCGTCTGTCTGTCCTCTGAGGATGCTCCTTGGTGAACGTGTGCTCCTTGGTGAATGCTGTCTTCAAGCTGAGGCCCGAGTCCCAGCTCAGAGTTCTCCGAGTGTGAGCTGGACCAGCCGCACCAGAAGCACCCAGACCGCTGGCTAAAACGCTGACGCCGGGCCCACTCTAATCCATGTCTATGGGTGGAGACTTACAGCTTGGCATTCAGCAAGCCCCCACGGTGATTCTTAAATGCCCTGGTGTTTACAGAACCTTTCACCTATACGGCTTCCTTAGTTACTCTAGCTAATCCCGCCCCATCCAGCTGCCTGCAAACAACCTGACACTTCAATTAAGTGAACTTTCTTTTTTGTTTTTAGAGAGATTTTGAATAAGGGCGTGTGTGCTCACTGGAGAGACAGAGACAGAGAGATAGAAAGGGAGAAGTCACCCCCCAGGGAGGATGGCCATGCTACAATCCTTCTCCTCCATTCTCTTCTTGGTATCCTGGGCACGCACACTCATGCACCTGGTGTGAGTTTTAAGCCACCAGGTCTGAGACTCGAACTGCAGTCAACTATGTGGGAGTCTAGTGACATAACCATTATGCTATCTGCTGGTCCCCTCAATTAAGTGCACTCTGTAAAGTGTCTTAGAAAATCTTTGAAATCTTTCTGAATCTCCAGAATAATGTGTTTATAAAACTTCATATTAGGGGCCAGCAGGTGGCACAGTAGTTAAGGTGCTGGACTCCCATGTGATTGACCGTGGTTCAAGTCCCAGACCTGGCAGCTTGAAATTCACACCAGGCGTATGCACACGTGAGCCCAAAATCCTAAAAGGAGAATGGAAGAGACGGGATGGTGGCGTGGCCATCCCCCCTGGGAGGGGTATTTCTTGCTTTCTGTCTGTCTCTGTCTCTCCAGTGAACTCATGTGACCGCTACCAAAAATCTCTCAAAACAAAACAGGCTCCATTTTACATAATAAAAACATTGCTGGAAATCAGGCAAAAAGAAAATTTGAGCAAAAGCTGTTCTGTCCTCCTGTCAGAAGCAGTGCTGGGAGACGGCCGGCATAGGGAGTTGTCATAAAGCTTGTGCCGATCTGTGGCTTGGAGGCAAGAGCGGTATGGAGATGGCAGCCCCCAGCCCAGGGTCCCAGAATGACCATGTGGGGGATGTTACCGCAATCGCTCCTGCGGCCGCACCAGGCAGCTCCACCACAACTGACCTGCGCCTGCTCCTCCCACTCACAGACCCCCGTCCCAGACCCTGCCACACACCTCCCAGCCTACTAGATGGTCTGGAAGTCAATGAATCCGCCCAAAGCAGAGAGAACTTGGACCTGGACAGTCCTGAAAACCCCGCTGATGCTCAGCTGTGCCTCTCATTTTTACATTATTTTTCACTAAAGGAATCTGTCATGGGCCCAGCCATCCAAGGGGGCTAACCAAAGCAGGAACTGAAATCAGCCACAGGAAGTCCCTCCAGGAAGAGAGAGCATGATCGTCCATACCTGCTCCGAGTTTAGGGCCTCCCAGTACTTCTGCTGCAGAACGAAAAGAGATACAAAAAGTGTCGGACAGGCTGTGCCACCGTCGCAGGGCACAGCGGGGCTCGGCGCCAGCCCCAGTGACCAGGGAGCCAGCAGGCAGGCCCTCCAGTGGCTGCAGAAGCAAACAGCCAGCTGACCTCGCAAGCAAGAAGGCAGCAGGGACAGCAGTTACAATGTTGTTAAGTGATCAATAGAATAATTGTGATCATTGTGTGGGGCTCCGGGTCCTGGGAAGATTACAATCCACAGAGATTTAAAATGTGCTATTACTAGAAATGATGATTATTAGGAGTAATAATAATAATGACTCTCCCATTTACTGGCCACATGGCTGAGATGACTCAGCTGAACCCTGTAAAACTAAGAAGTGAGATGCAAATACTATCTGCGCTTTGCCAGCAGGGAGTATGTGCTACCAGCCACGCTTCGTTTTCAGTGTTCACTGCATGTTGGTGTCGTGCCAAACCTCAACTCTGTCTGACTTGAGTTCTTGGAGGGCAGACGCCAGTCAGCTCTCGTCCTGCCAGCACCTCGCGCGGTGCCTGGGAGATGCGTGTGTCTGACTCAGAGCTTTGGATCTACACGTCTGTCGTATCGATCCATGGAAGCCTGTGAACTTGAAACAGCTGCCAATCTGAATAGTCCACAGGATGGGGAAGGGTCAGTGCATTTAAACAAAGTCTCTCGTGTTCAACTCTTTACGTTTTTCATTTTAAACAATTTTTTTTTTTTTTCCTCTAGGACACCTATGCTTACTGGAGACAGACAGAAAGAAAAGAGAGGGAACGTAAGAAAACTCTCCCCAGAGGGGATGGCCATGCTGCAATCCCTTCTCCTCGATTCTCCACTCAGGATTTTCAGCACACACACACACATGCATCCAGAGTGTTTTTCAAGCTTCTGGATCTGGGACTTGAACCACACACTTGGCCATATAGGATCCAGGGCCTTAACCACTTGACTAGACCTAACCAACTTTTTAACGACAGGATTTTCGATCATACACAAAAGTAAAGAGAGTAATCTAATGAACACCACGTACCCTGTTTGATTTTATCTAGCTCCGGCATGAGTACTCAGAAGGGAGAGAGCGCTCCCCAGTGGAGCGAGGGCATGCCGCAATCCTTCCTCCTCCGTGTCCCAGCTCATCATGATTCTAGGCATACATGCATACGCAGCCCTTATAGTTTTCAGCCACTGAGACCAGGACTCAAACCATGGTCGGCCATGTGGGATCTGGCTCCGTATGCACAGTGCTTCGCTGCTATTACAGGGCTGGCCCCCAATTTTTTTTATTCGCTTCAAGTATTATGTAATAAATCATTTCATATCTCACAGAGAGGACTTCTTTTTTTTGTTTTTTTTTTTTTTTTTTTTTTTTTTTTTTGCCGTACGTAGGGTGCATGCACTTGCTGGAGAGAGACATGAAGTGAGAAATTACCCCCCAGGAGGGATGGCCATGCCACGATCCCTTCTCTTCCATTCTCCTCTCAGGATTTTGGGTAACCACACATACATGCCCAGCGTATTCTTCAAGTCACCAGGTCTAGGACTTGAACCGCACAGCTGGCCATGTGGGATCCAGTGTTTAACCACCATGCAACCTGCTGGCCCCCAGACTACACGTTTCTTTTTTTTTTACCTAAATATAATGTCATTGTTATACCTAAGAAAACTGATAATTCCTTAGCATGTATCTTTTAGTGTCGTCCTGCTGGGGAAACATAAACTGGGGGTGGGGGAAGATAAATGACTAAAAATGGTGGTTCCACACACACTGCAAAAAGCAGAAATGTAGATGGCATAAAGTAGGGTTGGGGCCTGCCAGGGGCCTGCTGGTGAAGGCGGGTGGACCCCATGTGGCTGCACTGTGGTTCGAGTCCTGAACCCAGTGGCTCGAGAGGCATGCTGAGCACGAGTTCGTGCATGCCCCAGATCCAGAGAGGAGAATGCAGAAGGGACTGCAGCATGGCCATCCCCCATGGAAGGTGCTTCTTGGCTTTCTCTCTCTCTCTCTCTGGCAAGTGCATGTGCCCTTGAGCAAAAAAAAAAAAAACAAATGTTTTTTAGAGTTTGAAAAACTTAAATGACTTACATATGTAATTAAAGACAAAGAAGGATGGCCATCTTTGTTTAGAAAATAGAGAGCTTTGGGCAGCTGTCGTGGAGCCGCGATAGCATGCCGCTCCGTGGTACCGACCCCAGTGAAGGGAGACCGAGGTTCGTTTCCTGGGTTGACTTGTACGGGCTGGGCGTGCATGCGTGTGTCGTGGTCCTGGCCGCCTGGGGGCTAGGGCGGCAGGGGTGGGGATGAACTGCGGCATGAGACTTTGTTGAGGTTGCCTGTCTTTTTCTCCCTCTCTCGCTCATGGAAGGATTAAATAAATAAACTAACTTAAAAAAAGAAAATATAGGTCTTCATGCAAAGTACAATTTGTAGTTACTTGTTTGTTTAAAAAATTACTAAATAAGGGAACCAGCAGTTAGCGTAATGGCTATGTCGCTGGACTCCCACGTAGTCGACCGCGGTTCGTGTCCTGGACCCGGTGGCTTAAAACTCACGCCGGGCGCGTGGGTGTGCGTGCCCAAGATCCCGAGAGGAGAATGGAGGAGAAGGGATTGCAGCGTGAACATCCCCCCTGGGGGGTGATTTCTCGCTTTCTGTCTCTATGTCTCTCTCTGTCTGTCTGGCGAGCGCACGCGCCCTACAGTGAAAATCTCTCCAAAAAAAAAAAAAAATTACTAAATAAAATGTGGCATCTTGAGTTGTATCTAGAACAGAAAAAAAAAAAAAACAGTAATGGGGAAAACAGTCTGTAGTTTAGTAATGTACCAAAGTTCACCTCTGCGTTTTCATAAACGTCTTGGGTTGTCAGGAAAATCATGACACATTTTTCATAGAAAACCACAGAAAGATGACGACTTCCCCAGCAAACTAACAGCATGCTTATCAAAGACAGGAACATTAGGGGGCTTGGGCAAGGGCATACAGGAACTCTCTGTACTGCCTTTGTAACTGTCATGTCAATATAAAATTATTTCAGAATAAAAGATTTTATTTAAAGCCAAGCCAATTTGCAAGCAAACAAATCCCCAACAGGATTGAGACAATGCCTTCAGAATCAGTCACGCAGTCTACGGAACGTTTAAAGAGTGCCCTCTAGTGGAGGTAGAAGTCAGGACATGTTAAAAGTTACTCTGTAACTAACTTGCTCGACAGTGCCTGTGCTTGTTGGAGAGAGACAGAGAAAGTGAGAACGTATCCCCCATGGGGAATGGTCCCGCTGCAATATCCTCTCCCCATCTCTCCTTTCAGATTTTGGGCACATATGCACATGCATGTGTTTCTCAAGCCACAGGGTCTAGGACTCAAATCCACAGTTGGCAATGTGGGTGCAGCCACTTTAACCACCAGACCACTGGCTGGCCTGAAAGTTACTCTTTAAGCCAATAATGGTAATGTGCCTAAAGAATACAATGAACCCAAATCTCTCCCCCAAACCTAAAAATAAAGTTATACAGTCTTTTCCCTGTTTCAAGAGCAAAATGTGTTTATTATAGAAAAATGCTCAAAAAACAAAATAAAGATTGCCCATAATTCTCTCCATAAAAGAGAGCTTCTATTAATAGCTACTGCATAGTTCTTTGAAATCTATGTTTAGGTGGCATAATGGTTATGTCACTGGATTCCCACGAAGTTGACTGTGGTTCGAGTCCTGGACCCAGGGGCTTAAAACTCACGCCGGCTGTGTATGCGTGCATGCCCCAAATCCCAAGAGGACAAAGGAGGAGAAGGAACTGCAGTGTGGTCATCCCCCTGAGGGGTGATTTCTCGTTTTCTGTCTCTGTCTCTCCAGCGAGTGTATGCACCCTATGGCAAAAATCTCTCTTTAAAAAAAAAAAGCAACCTATGTTTATATATATCAAATCAAATCACACAAATGGCTTTTCAACCCGAACAAATAATGAGCACTCCCACGTATAAGTTGTCTGAGGTCCATGATGCTGTCACCTCTGTGAACCATAGCCCGTGGTGCTTCAATCCACCTCCTTTCTACAAGCATACTTCTCCATGCTTCTGAAGTCAAAAAGCATCTTACAACCCAGGGGACCAGCAGTTAGCGTAATGGCTATGTCGCTGGACTCCCATGTAGTCGACCATGATTCGAGTCCCAGACCCAGTGGCTTAAACTCATGCCAGGCGTGTGTGTGTGCATGCCCAAGATCCCGAGAGGAGAATGGAGGAGAAGGGATTGTGGCATGCCCATCCCCCCTGGGGGGTGATTTCTCACTTTCTGTCTCTCTGTCTCTCTGGCAAGCGCACGTGCCCTATAGCAAAAAAACGCATCTTACAACCCTTGTCTCGTCAGCACAGTAATGTCTCCTTCCTCCCTGGAGAGTCTGGAGTGTGTCTAAGTCGCTGAGGAAAGAGGGTCACTTTTTAGGCTTATATTTTAGACTACAAAACATGATGGGCCCTCAGAAACCATTTGTCCAACTGATTGGTCTTACATTTGGAGAGGAGTGACATTCCCTAAAACTACAGAGGTGAGAGGGTGCTGGACTGGGGATGGGTTATAGAGTTGTTGGTTTTTTTTTTTTTTTTTTTGGAGAGGTTTTTGCCATAGGGCACATGCGCTCACCAGAAAGACAGAGAGACAGAAAGCGAGAAATCACCCCCCAGGGGGGATGGCCACACCGCAATCCCTTCTCCTCCATTCTCCTCTCAGGATCTTGGGCACGCACGCACATGCGCCCAGCGTGAGTTTTAAGCCACCAGGTCCCGGACGCGAACCGCAGTCGACTACATGGGAGTCCAGCGACATAGCCATTACGCTAACTGCTGGTCCCAGGATTATAGAGTTTTAAGACAGGCCAGATATATACCAACTCAAGGTCTGCCCTAGATTTCATTAAAATAGATTTTCTTTTGACCTGATTTCTTTCAGACCTTAAAAACTACAACATAGGCCTTTATACCTTCCTATTTATTT